ATTAGATTACGCATCAGTGGTACTGTTTACTGTTTACTCATTAACTCTGTACGTCCACCTTTGCAGCAAATGGCGAGCTAATAGCGCAGGACACTTAAAAGCCAGAAGCCACACAGTCCCGCGTACCGCGAGAAAAGACCCATTCGCTTTGTCCTGTAATAACAACAACGTAATTCACCACCGCAACATGTGCACGAATCGTTAATTAAGCCGCCACCAGCCATATAGGCTACACCGTGAGTATATTGTGCGTCTGTGCAATAATTTCCCGTAGTGTGTGGAGTATCGAAGGCTGATGCGGTGCATGGTGCACTTTTATCTGGCTTGAGGGTTCGAGCTGGGATGAATCACTCGTACAGAGCAAGGCAGAGCACTCTGTGTTCTAGAGAGGGCTCTACCAACTGAGCTACTGAGGCAGCTCAGCTGGCTGGACTGAATCACTCATACAGAGCAAGGCAGAGCACTCTGTGTTCTAGAGAGGGCTCTACCAACTGAGCTACTGAGGCAGCTCAGCTGGCTGGGCTGAATCACTCATACAGAGCAAGGCAGAGCACTCTGTGTTCTAGAGAGGGCTCTACCAACTGAGCTACTGAGGCAGCCCAGCTGGCTGGGCTGAATCACTCATACAGAGCAAGGCAGAGCACTCCGTGTTCTAGAGAGGGCTCTACCAACCAACATCAGAGCTAAACAAACCTGGTTTTTGTAGTGATGGTCAATCAGTACACATTTGTTGAGTTGGTAGTTGAGAATAGCATTTCCACCAACAGCCTTTACGTTGGCTCTGACAATGGAGTTAGCTTCCAGTAGAAACAGATCCAGGAAGATCCCTATACCTCCTGACTAGGAGGAGAGAAAAGGGGAGAGAGGGAGGGTGCGGTGGGCAAAGAGAAAAAGCTACTCTAATGAAAATGACTTGGTTTGAGAAGTATGAATCATAAAGCGCGAAAGCAAGCTATGCACATAAGTGCTAAAGCCATGACACTTTGAAGAAAGAGCTGCCCTAGGTGTGGACTCTAACCCACGACACTCTGCAGTCTACAAACTGAGCTATATACCAGGGCAGCTCAGCAAACAAGGCTCAAACCTGCCTACGTACAATGACTATATAGACAATAGCAGGCTTGATGTGCGCAACTTTGTGCACTGCGGCATAAAAATAAGCATAAAATATTGTTGCTATTTTGGTAATGGCCCAGGTAAATTATTAGAATTTTGGGGTGTCATGTGAAAAAAAAATTTAGGGGTGTAATGTGACAAAAATTTTTCACTATTAAAAAAATATTGCATTCTTACCTCACGAATAGATGTGCTTTCTCTGATGAGGAAGACATTGATCCGTCCGAGATATTTCTGTACCGTCCAGCCGGTAATGAACGGTGAAGGAGTCATTAGCACAATCTGAACATAATAGTAGTAAGTAGTAAGTTGGATCACTATTAAGACATTGCGCGTCACACGTACGATTTCACATTTTTGCCACGCGTATTTAGAATAACGTGAACATTACGGTATGTGCAGTTCCCGTCACAATAATGTGTAATCATGTGTGTAGTAATAAACAAGGAGAAAACCAAGCTCGCCAATTATACTAGGTGGGTAGCGTACCAACCAGCACAGGTAAAGGGAACGTGTCAGTACATAAGGGCTAAATTTAGAAGTGCTATACTAACGAAACAAAGGGGCCCAGTGCAAGAATGCAATTAAGTTACTGTTTTTAGTAACAGTTTCTAAATATAGCCATTACATACTGCCGCATTCCCCTTTACAAAACGGTACAAAACCGGAGCACATGGCTACATGCCCGATAGCCTGCAAGAATTCCAAACACTCACAGTTCGAATTTCAAACTGATTATTCGAAAAATGCAGTGAGACGGGACGACCGACCCACCAGCGTGCTGTATTTGCTGTTTACACTCGGAAATGCGAACATTAAAACCTTATCTGGAAGAATGATACCAAATACCGTAGAAACACAATACACACAGGAATTGATAGCTTCCGGCGTTGTCGAGGCAACACACTGAGGAATTTCTCGTTTCTTTACATTTCGTTCCAAAGTGTAGTCTTACGCCGCGTTATTTCCTTATAAGTGAAATTCGACATTGTTTTTTGGGCCTCGTCTATAGCATAATTTGTGCCAATATGCTGAAGAACAAATGTCGCAATACCACAAATATTCAAAGCATCCTACTATTTGTGTGTTAATAGCACACACACACACACAGATGTAAACGATATCGTTTACTACGTACTACTAACGTTATGCTGTTTGTTTAATCTTAGTAGACATACATATGCACTTACAATGGAATTCTTAAACTGGAAATGCAGTTTAAAGGGGTTTCTTTAATAGAATGTAGAGATAGAAGGAAGAGAGATTGGAAAAGAGAGAAAGAGGAGGCAAGAGAGAGGGAGAAAGAGAGAGGGAGAAAGAGAGAGGGAGAAGGAGAGAGGGAGAAGGAGAGAGGGAGAAGGAGAGAGGGAGAAGGAGAGAGGGAGAAGGAGAGAGGGAGAAGGAGAGAGGGAGAAGGAGAGAGGGAGAAGGAGAGAGGGAGAAGGAGAGAGGGAGAAGGAGAGAGGGAGAAGGAGAGAGGGAGAAGGAGAGAGGGAGAAGGAGAGAGGGAGAAGGAGAGAGGGAGAAGGAGAGAGGGAGAAGGAGAGAGGGAGAAAGGAGAGAGGGAGAAAGAGAGAGGGAGAAGGAGGGAAAGAAGAAGTAATGGTAAACCTTTCCTCCTCCAAGTGGTGAAGATTTCAAATCGGGCACACTCAAACGAGTGTGGTGGACTTCCTGTCCTTCGTCCATGTCGAAAATGAACTCATCTACAACATATGGAAACATATACATATCAAGAATAAAATACTCCATGTACATTATGTATAATACTTTCGGTTTCAAAATCACCTGACGAACGATTCTGTCCCACATTGGTGATATTTGACGGCTTATGGTGGCTCCTAGCAACAACTGCTGTCACGGAAACCTACAAACAAAAATAGCGAAATACATTTTGTTGATACATATGCATGTACATACGTACTGTACTATGCATTGGTGTGCATTAATTAGAAGTCCTCGGCTACCCTTTTCATAGCTACGATGAAACGGAGATGCTACAACACACAGACCCTCGGGGCTTCTAAATATAGGTTAGATGCTGGAAGCGAGGGACATACGTAAATTCAGAAACCCGAGGGGGGAGCTCTGGTGTTCCGAACTCGGCGAGGGCACTATACATCGCCCGAGGGTTTTCCGAATTTCCAGCGTCTATATAACCTTTTTAGTGCAGAGGAACACAGAGTGGGAGTAGCTGTAGTGGTGCTTGTGATGTATATACATATATTTCACAAAGCCACTCATCGATTCGCCTGCACAGCTGGCGTCACACGCAAAAATGCCCCGTTCTGACCACTAGGTTGCTTGCCAATGACACATCGCACAAAAGTTAAGTTTACCCAAAGTAGGTGTGTGCAAAATGGTCAGATTTGATTGCGTCGTTCTTTAATTATGTAATCAGGCTGGGGCTCCAAGTTAAATGAGACTTGTAGACTTGTACCCACGACAATCACGTTAACAAGTTCATTAAATTGATACAAGAACTGTCGTCAGTAGGTATGTGTGTTGAATGGTGCATAATGATCGGTGCCAGTGCCAATACCAGTGCCAATACGTATTTGTAGACCATCCTGTACTAGCAATACATATGTGATTTTACGTACAGACCCGAATACGTATATAGCATGGTTGAAACACACCTTCATCGAGTTATGAAATGTGCAAGTAGAGTGTATTCAGTTACGCTATTTGTTGCAAATACCCAAATATTATGCCATTTGGTGTTGGCTAAACACAAAACCAGAAGTAGTAAATCTGGTGATTCTGCCTCAAACAAACACATGTGTGTGTCATTGCACTGCACACTCCAGCTATAGTCAAGGCATTCAGGATGGTTGGTTGGCCTCTCTTTCCCTCCACTTGCTTGCTAAAAGTACGAGCAATTTAGGCCACCCTATTCTTTCACTGCACACTCCAGCTATAGTCAAGGTGTTCAGGATGATTGGTTGGCCTGTCCTTCCCTCCACTTGCTTGCTAAAAGTACGAACAATTTAGGCCACCCTATTCTTCTATATTCAAGGCATTCAGGTTGGTTGGTTAGCCTGTCCTTCCCCCCACTTGCTTGCTAAAAGTACGAACAATTTAGGCCACCCTATTCTTTCACTCCACACTCCAGCTATAGTCAAGGCATTCAGGATGGTTGGTTGGCCTGTCCTTCCCACCACTTGCTTGCTAAAAGTACGAACAATTTAGGCCACCTTTTTTCAAATCACCTCCATTGCGAACCTAACCTAGACACTGCACTCTGAAGCTTCAGTTTATAAGGCCACCCTATTGCAGCACAAACACTATTTAGACCAGATGTAAATTGCCAAATGATATAGGCTCCGTCACCATAATTATTTAGACCAGATGTAAATTGCCAAATGATATTACAAAGACGACCTCATAGGCTCCGTCACATAATTATTTAGACCAGATGTAAATGGGCAAATTATATTACAAAGACGACCTCATAGGCTCCGTCACCATATTTAGACCAGATGTAAATGGCCAAATTATATTACAAAGACGACCTCATAGGCTCCGTCACCATATTTAGACCAGATGTAAATTGCCAAATGATATTACAAAAGACGACCTCATAGGCTCCGTCACCATATTTAGACCAGATGTAAATGGCCAAATGATATTACAAAAGACGACCTCATAGGCTCCGTCACCATATTTAGACCAGATGTAAATGGCCAAATGATAATTACAAAGACGACCTCATAGGCTCCGTCACCAACGTTGTCAGGTGACTTATTTTGTTTGTCGACATGCACTGCATGTACATATTAGTGTGGTAATTTTTCAATTTTACTCGTGTTTTGACCATCGTTTATTTATATTTTGGTTCGTAACTAGGATAACCAAGGATAGCCCAGCGGTAGCAACCGTCAATCTAAATGCTAATTTGGACATCGTGTTGTGTTTAACATCCAAATCGGAACCCATAACTCTCCTTAATTTTGGCAGCTTGAGCCAGTCTATCGCCTAGTTAGCCACATAAAGTTCACCGTAATTAGAAGGCGATAAAAGCAATTTTTGAAGTGGACTAGAATCCAGAGCCACTTACTTTTGGGGAAGCTTATTATGTTATTTAAAATTGTGAAAGGGTTTAGAGGTGGTGAATGTAGTGGATAAAGAGTTATTAATGTGAATTCATGGTGTAAAAAATAAATCCAGCACAGAAATAAGTAAAGAAATTTTGCAGTGGGAAAAGAGTTAAATTTAAGTACATCGTACGTCGTACGTTGACGCATACTAATTCATACGTACAAAAGGGTTAAAACTGAAGTATATAATATGTGTGTACAAACCTGAATTTCGTCTTCTTCAGGAAGGTCAACGTCAAATTGTAGTTCAGTGAGTGTACATGGGCGGAGGGTGCGGACTTTGAAACACAGAGTCTGTGGATGAGGAGTGAGAGAGAGTGAGGAGAGAGGGAGGGAGGAGAGAGGGAGAGAGGGAGAGAGGGAGAGAGGAGAGGGAGGAGAGAGAGAGAGAGAGGAGGAGAGAGGGAGGGAGAGATGGAGGAGAGGAGGAGGAGGAGATGGAGGGAGGGAGATGAGGGAGAGAGAGGAGAGCGAGGGACGCGAGGGAGGAGAGGAGAGAGAGGGAGAAAGGATAAAATCATAAACTACGGAACTACATAGCATAGTACGTACCCTCTTACAATAGTGAAACTAAAATTAAGTGTAATATATTATACCTGAATCAGAAGAAGTAGCAGTTCAGAAAATTGTCGATCCACGTCACCTCTTTGCTCCTGGAAAACATATTTCTTCACAATTGTTACCATCTGCGGAGGAATAACAGACGCACACATAATACATACACCAATACGCATTAATAAATACATGAAAAAACATGTTTATAGCATACTAGCTCAGAGGAAAAGAAACTTATTTCGCGCATATTTAGAATCGTGTATAACATTACGTCATACGCAGTGCAAGTCACAGCATGAATACATGTTGAGAATTCCCGCATTCAGACGAATAGGTGGACTCACTTCGCTTGCCAATTACACACATACATGTATATACTGTACATACATTAATACAGTGTAAACATATGTATGCACATACATAGATGCACACATTATACACTGTACAGTTGAACGGAGTATATATTTCAAACCGGGCTGGGCCCAGACAGTGCATACAAATTGGATAAGTGGCGGCCAAATAATATGACTGCGTACAAATTGGATAAGTGACAATGTAATCAAATTTCCAGGTCTTAGAAAGAGACAATGGACTGGCTAGACGCTACATTGCTGGCAGGCGGAGTCAGCGTTCTGAAATGAAATCATGTCTAGACAGGGCCGGCTCTGGTGAGGTTGGTATTGCGACTACATGTACATCCGCTTTTTATCATGCGTTGCGAGCTATTATTCCTGTTGGAAGAGAGTGAATGCACTTGGTAACCACAATGCACTTGGTACCACAGTAATTATGGGCTGAAAGAGCTTTAGCTATCCTCTCCAAAAGAGACCCCTGAAATGAGGAGACCTCCCTAATAAGGTCCATTTTAACCTTTCAGTTCTTGCATGTACAGAGCATCCATAAGTCCATAAGAATTTATATTGGGGTTATAATACTAGGAGCCCATACTTTCTTCATGATTTTCTGCTTATTGAAGGAGATACCCATGGCATCCAAAGGGTTCTTTTCAGCTCTTGCATGCATAATGATAGTCCTACTGGTGTCCGGATTAGAGGAGTTTCGCAAATGTCAATCATAGAAAATGCCTCTTAACAGCTTAATGGCCACGATATGTACATCATTGCACGATATATACATACATTGTTGCACACGATATACTGTGTGTAAAGTTGCGTTTAACTTAAAATGCTAAGGTATATACGATAGACCAAACGATGTTGAAAGTATTTCAATTGCATGCAATGTGTTTATATGGGCTTATCGTACCCTTTACGTTACAAATTGCGCAATACTTTGTCTCATGTGACGAGGTTGCATTGTGTATATACCACGGCCTTATACGGTATATTATATACCCACCTTGCCTTCGAGCGGAGTACTGGCCGTCGTTCCTGGTATGGATGAGAGGTTGCAAATGAGGTATTCCTCAGGTAGTGGCCGCTCGACAACCGTGTGGATATTTCCTCCGTCTATCTTCAAATTCGACAGCTGAATGATGTATGCATGTATTTATATTTGTTGGATATCCCTAGGCAACCAACGTGTATGAAGCTAGGTACTGGGGGGGGATTGTATCAGCCTATACAATCCTACATGTGCAAGCAGGGTTCATACAATATGTTGCAGTACCCAGACAGGACAGCATTCGCCCTGTAAAGGTTGATACGCAGTCACATATATATGCAGGGTTAACTTCTTGCTGGTCAACTTCATATACAGTGCTATGATATACATCTGGACAACAACAATATTATAGTGCTGAGTTCACTCCACTGTGCATCTTACATGCATACATCAAAAAAGGAAAAGGCTTTCTTCTGCACCCACGTTTTGTTGATATAAACCCTCAAAAAACAAAAGTCGTTCCTTAATTTGAACGTACGTACATCGACGAGAAAAACATCTTTCTTGCCAGTTGTCAGGTCTGGGTCGGTGGGTGTGTCTTCTGCCACGCTCACAAAACTATTTCCTGTCTCGGCAACCTGCACTTCCTGTAACACAGGAAATGAAGTGGGAATAATATTACTAAAAAAGAGTAAAACCTCGGCGCACCAGAAATGTTAATTGTAGCACAAACAATAAAGTACATATACTGGTGAGGTATATACCGCCAATTGAAAGCTGGAAGCTTACTTCATGAAAATACAGGAAGCTAGAGGCACTTCCTGTAATACAGGAAACAAGCTGCACACTAACCACGGGAGCTTGAAGCAATCCATAGATCTTCCTATTCAACTTGAGGGCTTGATCGACAGTCACTTGTATGCTAGAGGTGGCTGCAGAGGCTTTCTCGTTGCCTTCTTTGCTGTGAAAAGTTAGCTGAGGAGGAGGAGGAAGAGCTTCAAGGTAGACTGCAGTTCCGGTCTATGAGGGAGGGAGGGAGGGAGGGAGGGTGGGATAGAGGAGGAAGAAGGATGAAAGAGAAGAGAGGAGGGAGGGTGGAAAAGGAGGGATAGGGAGCGAGAGTGAGAGGAAGAAGGAGAGAAATAAGTCCAGTAAACTAGAGCTACAATTCCCAGATAAAGGCTGGTCATTGCCTTTGTGTTGAAGATTTGAACCCCTACCTCCTGAGTAGCTCAGTTGATAGAGCGCTTGCCCAGACTGTAAAGTGTGTCATGGGTTCGAATCCCACCCAGGGCAGCTCTTCTTCTTTTCTTCGAAAAGAAAGAGCTGTCCTGGGTGTAGTTGACTTGTTTGCCTTGCCTTTGCCTTTCTACCTCAACTTGTTTGTTGTTACATATCCAAACTACCTAGAAGACCAATGAAAGTACTGCAGAGAGAATAGAGACTAGATAGGAAAGCTGTTTTATTAACTGCCACGGTTACTAATGGGTCGACAGTGGCCTCCATGCCCCACAAGGCAAGAAGCCTAAGATAACCAGCAACAGAAAAGAGGCGAGACATGCAGTCAGTGCATTCCTGCTGCAGTCCAGATCTCTTGGGAGAAGGGTCCTCACAAGGCTGCTAAATTCCACTTCATATGCAGCTCCAACCTCTGGGTGTTAGCTGGTAATGCCTGGTTGAATGATGCAACGCAGAGCACTCTGTGTTCTAGAGAGGGATCTACCAACTGAGCTACTGGAGGCAGCTCAGCTGGCTGGGCCGAATCACTCATACAGAGCAAGGCAGAGCACTCTGTGTTCTAGAGAGGGCTCTATATACCAACCCATAAAGGCAGTTACCAGGTTTCAAACAAGTCTAAAAGTTTAATAATACATACGTACCTGCCTGCACCGAGTGGTACGGGTATTTAACGCCATTGTGTGAAGTTCAACCTTAAAGGTTGTAGCAGAAGCTCTGTTGCCACAGTAAGGACAAAATCAGTTAAAGCTTAAAGAACTAAGGGTAGGTATGTTCTCTTTAGTACTATTATTATATAGCCTTCAAGAGTGTGCATCATTACGAGAAAAGATGCGAAAGGAGTCTACTTCAAATTCTCTCTAAGAACTGTTTTGTTTAGTTGTTGTAGCTCAGAGTTTACTTTACTGTTAGCTATGCTATGTTTGGTTGCAGCGTATGCAGATTATAGTCCATACTGAAGTAGCCTTTACTGCTAGGAAAGTGGCAATTGCGGTATATTTATCAATCCCGGTGCAGTTGAAGAGACAGAGATGAAGGTGTACGCAGTTCTGACCCTGACGGTGGTGGTGGTAGTCCTGACCCAGTGTTGGTGTGTTAGCTGCGGCCCAGGGTCCCAGCCAACAGTTGAATACGTCGCCCAGCGAAGTGAGTATAACGTTAGTAAAAAGCGACTAAAAGCTAACAGAATGTGGTGTAAGCAAGCATAGGGGTCCAGCAAATTCATATAAATATGGTTTAGGTTTAAACATTTCTTAACGTTAGTAATAAGTGAATAAAAGCTAACAGAATGTGGTGTAAGCAAGCATAGGGGTCCAGCAAATTCATATAAACATGGTTTAGGTTTAAACATTTCTTAACGTTAGTAATAAGTGAATAAAAGCTAACAGAATGTGGTGTAAGCAAGCATAGGGGTCCAGCAAATTCATATAAACATGGTTTGGGTTTAAACATTTCTTAAAAAGTGACTAAAAGCTAACAGAATGTGGTGTAAGCAAGCATAGGGGTCCAGCAAATTCATATAAATATGGTTTAGGTTTATACTCTACAAACACACGCAGCTCAATTTTACATTTAGTGCAGTGTTCCAAGACATTACACTCCTTCCACATATTCCCCACAGCGATAGAGAAGATAACAGCGGTCATGAAATCCCTCCTGAACATGGCCGGCAGCCAGAAAAACAAGCTGTCCAAACTCCAAATGTCTCTAACATCTTTCGACGGAGCGTTCAAAAGCCTCGAATACGACGCCAGAAAACTGGAGAAAAGCAACCTGAAAAAACTTCCAGACCAGCAAGACGTGACGACGTGTATTGAAGCACATACAGAGGACAGTCAGGAAAGTGTGGACGACCTCAAAGATTGTATCGAGGAGATTCAAGAGTCTCTGGATGCAATTCGGCCTCACACACATCCCTGTGGGGGACCAGGGTGGATTCAAATCGTCAACGTAACCTACTCCGATCCCGGTGTTTCTTGCCCCGGTGCTTGGGCAACCACGACTTACGGCGCGGTGGATGGCTGCGCCAGATCAGCCGTCTCTGTAAACACAATCAACTCTCATATTTTCCCGGTCAACGGGATTACGTACAACCAAGTCTGCGGTCGAATCGACGCTTTTGCCTTCAGCACACCGGTTGCCTTTGACACGGGGGTTACGGACATCGAGATGAACTACGTCGACGGCGTAAGTCTGACGCACGGAGCCGCCGGTAGCAGGGAGCACATCTGGACGTTTGCAGCGTCGGCAGTCGAGAACCCTGCGGTTGGAGACGCGACTCAATTGCCTCCGCAGTGTCCGTGTGACGGAGGTACCAATCAGCCTGGTTTCGTGGGGCAGAACTACTTTCTGTGAATCGGGCGCCGGGGCAGTCGATATTTCGACGGTCACTATGTTCCAGGGGGCCGACAGACTGTGGGATGGGATGGACTGTACAGTCGACGCCTGCTGCACTCGAGCTAGTCCTCCGTACTTCCGCAGTTACTTGGCGAGTACCACAAGTGATGGTACCACAATGGAGGATATTGAAGCACGGCTCATGCTCTCCGAGGCTGGTTCCGCCAATTCCGATATTCTTATAACCCGCATTGAGTTGTATGTGCGGGAGGGATTGAACTAGGATCATTATAATGATCATGACTCTGAACTAAAGACAAAAATAGCCAGAGAGTTGGCTAACTTTTGTAGTAATGTCAGTGGATATTCTACAGTAGATTTTCATTTTTTTAGTTCTTAAACGATGCATGGAGTATTGTGTGTAAAGCCAAATGGTTGCAAAAGTCAATTTCTTCCGCTATGACATGTTTGCTACACAAAGTGGTTGGCATCGTGTTAATTGAATGCATGGTTCAATTTATCGCATGCTTTACGCGAAATTACAATCATGTATAACATTACGGTATGTGGCAGTGCTGGTAAGTAAATTCCACATTCAGGGCTCGCTTTGGTCACCACACAATGTTCAGAGTCATATATACAAACTCCCATTATATATCTTTCTACATTATTACAGGTCATTATTATGCGAACTTCTCTTTGCATGATGTAGGACCGTGCAATTCCCCGTGGCATAGTAATTGTGGCGTGGGTAATAATTCCGCGCTACTATAAGTTGCACGTGGCATTGCGGAGCTATTGCGTGTGTGCCATTTAAGTGGTGCGTGGTGCGCATAGTGTTAAACTCACCGCCAATCCAGTTATGACAGTGTCGCCAACGGAAACCTGGATCTTTACTCCAAACACGGCGTTCATGCCATGAACGTAGACCTTGTTCAGAAGTCTACTGTGTATCTCATACTCCAGAAATGGGAGCTCCTGAACAGGATGAAAAGGGGTGTGGTCACATTACATCATCATTACATCAGTACAAAATGTTCTGTAAGATTTCAATTTTTCTTGCAGCACAGTCACAGAACGTATGTGTACATTGTTGCAAATGACACTTTCTTCTGGGATCAGGACACCTCACTAATCAGGACACTTTCTTGTGAGATCAGGACACCTCACTAATCAGGACACTTTCTTGTGAGATCAGGACACCTCACTAATCAGGACACTTTCTTCTGAGATCAGGACACCTCACTAATCAGGACACTTTCTTGTGAGATCAGGACACCTCACTAATCAGGACACATTCTTCTGAGATCAGGACACCTCACTAATCAGGACACATTCTGTGAGATCAGGACACCTCACTAATCAGGACAGATTCTCAGGACACCTCACCAATAGAGTGCTGTACCATTCACAGTCAGCCGACTCTGAATCGGCACATACATCCGTACTTACCTTGCTGACTTTGTAGGCATTTTCTTCGCCTTTCATCTTTCTTTTTGCCACACAGACCCTGGCCTGAACCAGGCACCCTCTGCCACTGATTGGCATTCCAGTCGGCAGTCCAGAGGTTGAGAGTATTAATGACGGAACCTGTCTACTCCTGTTGAGAAGGGATGAAATCTGAAATGAAAAGCGCTAAAGTGCAAACCCTAGGCGCACTGCGCATGCGCGGTACCGTTAATTGATGGGTTGGGCCAAGAGTATGCGTTTACTCGCGATCGATATCAAATAAGCTAAGTAGCAAATTTGATGTCTTAAACCCCTAGAGAGGGCTCTACCAACTGAGGTACTGAGGCAGCTCAGCTGGCTAGGCTGAATCACTCATACAGAGCAAGGCAGAGCACTCTGTGTTCTAGAGAGGGCTCTACCAACTGAGCTACTGAGGCAGCTCAGCTGGCTAGGCTGAATCACTCATACAGAGCAAGGCAGAGCACTCTGTGTTCTAGAGAGGGCTCTACCAACTGAGCTACTGAGGCAGCTCAGCTGGCTGGGCTGAATCACTCATACAGAGCAAGGCAGGGCACTCTGTGTTCTAGAGAGGGCTCTACCAACTGAGCTACTGAGGCAGCTCAGAAATTCTCATCAGTTAAACTTAATAACCCTAGCATGGCTTTCTACCATCTTATACATGTTGGTGTATACAAATTAGAATTCCAGTTATGCGTACATGCGTATATGTAGTTTAGTATATGTACATATTATTACCTGCATATTCGACAGAAGGTGGCTTTGATATCCACAGGAAGCTTGTTAGTGGAGTAAGGGAGGTGACATAGGGAGCAACCCAGTCTGTTGGTAGGACTTCTAGCCGGGCTAAACCATGGGAATATAAATATATATACGTATATGAATATATATTAGGATGAGACTTTTGTTTGTATATTCAGGTCTCCTTTCAATATAGCACGAGGTAGAACAAAGTGTCCTTTATTCAGGAGTTTCCTTTATTCAGTACACTAATGTATTAGTATGGGGCAGAACCAAGTGTCCTTTATAGAGAGGTGTCCCTATGTATTAGTATGGGGCAGACCATTCCTTTATAGAGTGTCCCTATTTTAGTAGGGGCAAACCAGTGTCCTTTAGAGAGTGTCCCTTTATTCAGGGGCAGAAAAGTGTCCCTTTAAGATGTGATGGGGCAGCGTCTTTAGGTGTCAGGTCTTTTCAAAAAGGAAATATCTGTTCTGTGCACTGAAAGCTACAGCTATTACCTCTCAGTTTGGCTGGTGTTCTGTCCTTCAATTTCAGTATCTCCCTTTAGCTCCGTTTCCGAACCAGGGGCTGGATCGATGGAGATATGTACGTACATTGCACAAATTTTTCACTGTTTAAAAAATTTACTTCCACATATATTTTGGTACTGAAAATTGTGCACAGGCTAGACAGTAGCACAAACTAAATATTTTGCCACGTAAATTTTGAAATGACAGTAGCAAATTTAATAAAATTTTACCCAAAATATTCTGTGGGAAAGTTTAAAGAGCTCATGCTTTTAGGCTTATGCACGTTATGAGAGAAGAGTGTATTTGTGCAAGAAAAAAAATTCAGAAATCATTAAGTGTGTCTTTGAACTAAACCTCCCAGGTACATATATACGTATATACAGTAGGTTTGTTATGCAATATGGACGACTGAGAATGAATTACATGTTGGTGGTTTTCTAGAAGTTTCCGTGACAGTTACTGCAGTACCAGTTGCTGAGAAGACGCACAGACTATCACTGGGGAAGAGAGCGGAAGGAAACAAAATGACGTGATTGATTTGTCCACGGACAGCACGCGTAACTGCGCGGTACTTGTTGGCGAGTGAAGCGAGCCTACCCTAGTCGTCTGAACGCGGGATTTGATATGTGACGGGAGATGGTCACTGCACATACCGCGTAATGTTGTACGTGATTCTAATACATACATATGCGGGAAACACGTGCGAAATTTTGAGCTGCTTGCTTCACTCGCCAAAAATGCGTTGCAAACACAACGACTTTCAGGGCTGAGGTGAACGAAAATGGACTTTAGCTATACTTTCTGATGCATGCATGTACATATTATATATACCATATACTGGTTGACTCGGAGTAGCCGATGATGACAGAACAGCCCAGCACTCTGAGGTGCGACCTCATTTCATCTCTCACTTCCGTCCACCACGCGTCTCTGGTCTCGGGATCATCTGGAGAGTGTAATATATGTATTAGTATGGGGCAGTGTCCATTACAGACAAGTGTCCTTTATTCAGAGGGGCCTATTATCAAGGGATAAACTGTACCTGGGTTGTTGATCTTGTCAAGAAGCTTGACGGAGCGGGCAGTCACCAGTCCACCAATATGAGTCAGCACACCGTCGGGCAACGTTGAGATTGTATAAAACGGATACTCCTGAAACATAATACAGGCCTTCATTTAGTAATTACTAGTGCTCACAATGTCGAAAATGGAGGCTAAAGGCTAATGTGAGTAAGAGTGCAGTGATGGTGTTCGCTAGGGGGTCAGTGGATGGTGCTTGGAAATGGGGGGAGTATGTTTTGCCTAGAGTATCTAAATACAGGCCTTCATTTAGTAATTATTAATGCTCACAATTAATCATCGTTCACTTTGTCCTTTGAATCAGAAGCTATTGAGAACAAAAGGAACTCAAGGAACTGGAAGAACCCAAGGAACTGGGGGAACACAAGGAACTCAAGAAGAAGAGGAACCTTAGGAAGCCAAGGAACTAGGGGAACACAAGGAACCTGTAGGAACCCAAGGAACTAGGGGAACACAAGGAACACAAGGAAACCTAGCAACCAGAGGAACCTGAGGAACCCAAGGAACTAGTCAATGGAAAGAAAAAGATTCCACCACATCTTCTGATCCTACGTATAAAGTAACGTATATTATACCGAAGGTGCTGTGATGTTTTTCATGGACGGAGGAGGAGTAGACATCAGGACTGCCGCTCCACTTCCAGATGACGTCGCCAGAATTGGATCAATCACACGAACACCTACGTACGAGGAGAGGTGGCAACTAATAATACATTAACTCTTATCCGCCCAATCTACTGATTGGTGGAGCCAGACATAGCGGGGCGTTCCTGTACGCCTGGGCGTGGTGTGTGCTGAGTGAGTCAGAGCTGCTCGCATGATCGACACACCCCAACTGATGTCACGTGACCTTCTGCGGTGGGCACGTGCTGCCACGTGACCGGGGTATGGGCTCCCCGTGATGCCACGTGCCCGCACATGACCCAGCCGTCACGGACCCTCGTGGGCGGGATCGCACCACGGACAAACTCACGTCTCGCTCACGTGCATATGCTGCGCGGCCAAGCGTTGCGCATGCCCGAGCGCATGCGCCGTGCAACACGTCCTATCGCGTATGCACCTAACGTATGAGGAGAGGTGGCAACTAATCATACAAAGAACTATACATCGAATGCAACACATTTTAGCGAGCAAAAGTGAGCAGTTTGAATTTTTTGTGTCCTTCGCGCAATTGAGATTCACGTACAATAATAATTATTACAGAGAGAAAATAAAGAAAATCCCGCATTCAGACAACTAAAGAACCTCCCTTCACTCGTCAATAACAACATACATTAAAGGGGGCGTGCTAGTACATATAGAGCTAAATTTAGAAACTCTTGCTAAAAAAACGGGAAAGTATTCTTTCACTAGGCCTTATTGTAACCCATTACGTAATGCACAATCCCTTCCAACTGACCAGAGGTTTTGGAGGGAGAGGGAGGAAGACCATCGATGTGGGACGGACTGATGTGAGGTGGTAGGACGGTGTGCGAATGTTGGGGAGACGTCAGCGGTTCAAACAGAGCTCCATCATCTGAGAGTCTGTGAGAGAGAATTGGTAGAGCCCTCTCTAGAACACAGAGTGCTCTGCCTTGCTCTGTATGAGTGATTCGGCCCAGCCAGCTGAGCTGCCTCAGTAGCTCAGTTGGTAGAGCCCTCTTAGAACACAGAGTGCTCTGCCTTGCTCTGTATGAGTGATTCGGCCCAGCCAGCTGAACTCACAGTGTATCTGCATGAGTGGAAGTAGGTCTAACTCCATCGAGTGTGGCTGGGAAGCAGACTGGAATGGGGACTTGAACATTGAGCAGTTTGGGAATGAGAGATACACACGTCCCGATTCCACGAACAACAAGACCGGATTCACCCTCAATGTCAAACGATTGCTTGTACCTGTGCAGCAAGAAGAGAAAAGATTTCTGATTAGTGATCTCAGAAGAAAGTGTCCTGATTAGCAAGGTGTCCTGATCTCTGAAAAGGTGTCCCGATTAGTGAGATGTCCTGATCTCAGAAGAAAGCGTCCTGATTAGTGAGATGTCCCGATCTCAGAAGAAAGTGTCCCGATTAGTGAGGTGTCCTGATCTCAGAAGAAAGTGTCCCGATTAGTGAGGTGTCCTGATCTCAGAAGAAAGTGTCCTTATTAGTGAGGTGCCCTGATCTCAGAAGAAAGTGTCCTTATTAGTGAGGTGTCCTGATCTCAGAAGAAAGTGTCCTTATTAGTGAGGTGTCCTGATCTCAGAAAAGTGTCCTGATTAGTGAGGTGTCCTGATCTCAGAAGAAAGTAGAGTAAATGCTATACCCCAGGATCGCATTAGCTTCCACTTCCAATGCTCTGGCACCAATTCTTCTTCGCAATTCTCCTGCAGTAAATGATACGTCAACAACAATAGGATCTGGTTCACTACAACGCATGAAGGTGTATTATAATGCCATGCTGACCTGACAGTCTGGTAAAGAGCCGTTGTCTTGCTTCATTTGATGAGCGAGGGGTCCTCAGTCGATCAATCCACTAACCAAATTACAAACTTTCATTAATAAGGGCTAATTTTACTAAAGATAGAATAGAGGGGCACAGTGAAAGAATGAAATTGAGTTTCGTTTTTAGTAACAACAAAGTACTGTATAACCCTTGCTGCGCATGCACGCAGAGGGTTAATTAAAAATGCACTGGTGCAACTTGGAGAATGAATAAAGAAGGGACTTGCACTTCGAGATATAATATATAAAGAAAAAAGCCACTCCACCAGGCATGAGGCCAACATGCCCAGTGAAGCGGAGGCACTCAGTATTGTCAAACAGAGAGTGGGTAAGGGGAGGAACCAGAGCTGTTCCCAGCCAGTGCTCTGGACCACCTACCAGCTTCCAGCCCGGGATCGATCTCTCGACCACCTGAACCTTTATACTGGTAGTCCCCACTTCTACTGATTGCGCCACATGAGTGACCCAAGAGCAGTAGTTGAAATTTTGCCTTTATACCCACCAGTCAGTGAGGTTGAAAAAAGAAAAAGGAGTAGTTGCTGGGGTTGAACCCAGGGAGCACCTATTACATGCTCCACTTGCAGGAGCTTTAGCCACTACACCATCAACTTATGGCGGGGTGTAATAAGGTTGGCAATGTGCTGTCCCGCATTATATACCACCCTCTATGTGTACCTGATACTCTGGGTCGTCATTGACAACCAGTTCCTCCACAAAGCCATGGAGACAGTGAATGGCCATTCCCTCCGGCTCTCCTGTACCTGCAGAGATTCGTACAATTAACAATGACATCATCAACGAGAAAAAGTACTAACCAGGCCTTCAAATTGATCTAAGGTTGGGGGGGAAATGCATACACAAAACACCCTCTGTTTGCGTGCATTAAAAGGTTCACTTAAACTCCAAGGAGGGGGCGATAATTTATAAAGGGGGCAAGCCCCCCTGCCCCCTTTAAACAAACCCCTGCCAACTTACAGGAGTAGAACTGAACTCCAAAAGAAGACTGTTTGAATCTCTGCTGATCTTGAATCATGTCCAGCTTCACTTCCACATACAGTTCTCCCCTCACTCCTATATACACATAAACCACAACACACAGTGAATCCTCTGAATAAAGGACACCTAGGATAGATATCTCTATGAGGGACACTTGGTTCTGTCCCATACTAATACATAGTGTATTATACCAACGTACCTTTGAATAGAGGATGTCCCCCCCAAAAAAACTGACTCTCAACTATTATATTCTGTCTCACTATCTCTCTATATTTTACCAAAAACCTTATCTCGGCACCCCCCAATTACTCTCAATCTCAACGTGCATACCTATTCTAATCTTACGTATAATTATTCCGCTGCCCAGATTTATTTTTAAAAGAATTCACCATGGAGGGTGTCAAAAATTGGAAACCATCCCTCTAGGCTGGAATGGGTGGATCCAGACTCGACCAGTGGGTTAAGGACGATATAGACCCTTCCAATTGCATCGTGGGCGCTGTAGATATCGTGATCCATCACTCTTATAGGGAGAAATGGAGGGAAAGGAGAGAGGAAGGTGGGAGAGTAATGGAGAAGGATGAGGGTGGAAGAGGAGAAAGAGGAGAGAGAGAAGGAGAGAGGCTGAGACGGCTATGAGGGTGGAGATAGAGGACGCGGAGCGTCGTCCTGCTCGCGTCTGGTCACTGCGCGGTCTATCGGTTGCCGCTGCGAGCGCGTCCGCGCGAGCCGGCGCTCGCTTCCTGCGCCGTCTGCGTGCGTGTGCTCGGCTGCGCGAGCGTCGCGCGCCGGCCTCTCTTCTGTTTGCTCCTCCTCTCGCTCTGTCCGCGGCGCGCTCTCTCTGCGCTCCTCGCCGCTCGTGGCCTTTCTCGCGCGGCGTCGACTGTGCTCTCTGGACAGCTGTCCTGCTCTCGGCGTCGCTCGGCACCGTCCCCGCGGCGGCGGTCGCGCTACCGTGTGCTGGTGCGCTGGCTGTATGTGGGCCATGACCAAAGGCCATGAATGAAACGCAAAGAGTAGCAGCAAGGGAGATGAGAGAAGCAGTATGCCTAGCAAGGTCTACAACAAGGAGCCTTCCTTTGCCCACAGACACGCGAACTTACCACCAGTCTAGGGACATTAATGATAAGATGGAGGAGGTAAAAGGGAGGGAGGGGAGAGGGTAAATAACAAATACAAGATAGCTTACTTCAATTGGAGAGGTTCATCTTGCAGCTCTTCATCTGTCACCTGAACAAATCAAATCTACATCATCTTTTATCCTATCATATTATAATATAAAGATTATACTAGCTATATCAAATGAACTCACATTGAATTTGTACCATTGGGAGTTCCATTTCGGGTTAAGAGTCTTTGGGCAGACTTCTGTCTTGTTCCAACCATTGGCCATTTTGATCTGAACTCAGATAAACATATAGTCTATACTTGCATTGGACGATAAAGGAGACTTGTTAACACATTACTGTTGCACTATCAAGTGTCTCACTATTAATTAGTGTAGTAATCTAATAAAGGGACACCTCTCTATAAAGGAATCTTGTATATTTCTGTTTCACTGCTAACCTCCGAATAATTAACATAGCTATTGGTAAAAAATATAGGTATTAAGCCATGCTATCACTTTAGGCCTAGGGCTATTATAGTAGTTCATTATTGCAATGACGTCAAAACAATATGCACCTCAACAAAAGCGTCAGTGAGTTCACTTCTCTTGTCCATGACCGGGAGATCACGTGCCTTCACTACCTTCACGTGAACCGTACCAGGCATCTTTCCCAACACTTCGCCTCTCTCTCGCACACTACTGCAGCCTCTAAACCACTCAGTTAGAGCAAATGACTGAGCTCAAGGGCTTGACTTTGCTGTGTATTAGTGAACTTTAACCCCGCGCATGCGTAGGATACATTTGCGCATGCGCAGTGCTATACGCGCCCGGTATAATTATAATATTAGCGCAAAACATTCATGATTGTGAATGTGGTGCGTAGAGGCAGTCACGAATGTGAGTCCTTTTCTGCACATCTGCAAGGAAAAATAAGTAATTCCAAGGAGTATAGCAGATCGATACTTACCAGTGAATGAGTCCCATTTTTGTCTGACTTCCACTGGAAAATCCTGCAAAAAACACAAGTTGACTATAATAGCTTCTCTGAAAAGATTTTTTTACCAACAGTATATAGGTCAGTTTGGTACTGGAATAGAAAAAATAGCAAAACACACTTGGCTAAACAATTGCAGCGTACAATAAATCTCCAGACAGCAGTGAAAAGTTGGGGGAAAAAGGAAAAAAATGAAAAGTGAAAAGTTGAAAAAAAGTAAATACACGTATATAGCTGCTAGACGTTTGACATTGAGCTAACGTTAGTTTTGAGAGACTGAAGCATGTTGGTGGAAGGTATGGAAGGAAGAGTGACGTTGCGATAGATGAAGATTTGACCGTGGAATGTAGTGTAAACCAGACATGGAACATCCCTGCCTTCGCAACCGTACTTCCCTGCAATGACAGATTGGAGAAATTGGGAATACCGCTATGAAATAAAAGACGTATAAATCTTTCAACACTTAAAGGGAACGTGTCAGTATGTAAGGGCTAAATTTAGAAACGTTACTAAAGATAGACCTTAAAGATAGGGCCCAGTGCAAGAATGCAATTAGGTTTCCATTTTTAGTAACAGTTTCTAATTTTAGCCATTACATACTGCCACATTCCCTTTAATTAAGACCTCATATAAACGGGCAGTGGATGGACAAAAGCATAACAGTATAGTCATATCTGGATCTAGTTGACTCGTTTGGTGTGCCTTTGCCTTTCTACCTCGTAGTCACGCGAATATGTCTTTAACCCTATTAACCCGAGGCGCAAACCAGGCAATACACACTAAATGGAACACATGTGCTTGCCTCACAGCTTCGAATCATTGGCCTATATTCTGTGTAATGTTTAGATTGTTCAGTTCATTTGTCCTCCCCTTACCCATGCATCTACCACTGACCCACATACATCTCAAAGGGCAGCGTATAGTTTGGGGCATTGCACTGTGTCCATAGACGTCTGTCTGGAAAATTCCCCTGCTATATACCCACGAATGCATCACTGATGCAGTACATGGAAGTACACAATACCAGTACATCTCTCCATACCACTCGAGGTACGTTTCCAAGGAAACCCCCAAAAGATGTTTAATCAAAATATTGATATTTAGCCAAAATTTATATATAAGTAGTATCTCACCGGCAGAGAAGGCACAGACGTTCTCCCCAAAGTTAAATTTTACGACGTTTCTCTTCTGATCTACAATGTACGTCATTCCATCCCAGGCACAGCCAACAATCTCGTCTCCTCCACATCCCTGTAATAACCACGACGACCTATCATAATTATCTTTAAAGGGAATGTGTGAGTACAATATATGTAAGGCTAAATTTGAACTAAACAGCACATCCTAGTGCAAGAATGCTCCGTTGTTCAGTAAAGTTTTCTGAATTTAGCCCATAATTATTATACTGCTGACTTGAACTTCATAGCTATCAATGATTGCGACTGTGTTGCATGCCAGCACAATGGAACCCTCTAATCCGGACACCAATTGAACAGAAGTTAACGGTGTAACGACCTAGCTGTATCGGGAATGTGTCAGTACGTAAGGGCTATATATAGAGAAATGTTACTAAAGATAGAACTAACCGGTAGGTCCTAGTGCAAGAATGCAACTAAGTTTCCGTTCTCAGCAACAGTACTATATATACTGCCACTACCAATGGGAATGGAAGAAAGTAGTGAGGTGTCCTTGCTAAATTGCATGCAAGAAATCTTCAATGCAATGGACGTTGTCTTTCGGTAAAGTTTTGCACATGCGTGTGTTGGTGCACATAACTCCTCCCTCAAGAGCCGAGGGTGAAATAAAAGGCATCCTATTTACTGACAGTAGTGTCTAGACAGTGAAGGGAGAAGATGCTGTGATCGACTTGTAGCTCCCACTGCTTGTTCTCATCTTTCAACAACTTGATAGAACCTGCAATTATAGAAGAGACATTCAGAGGTATGGGACAAAAATCAAGTGTCCTTTATATAGTTTATTCAGAGGTGTCACTAATGTATTAGTATGGGGCAAGTGTCCCTTATATAGAGAGGTATCCTTTATTCAGAGGTGTCACTAATGTATTAGAAATCAAGTGTCCCTCATATAGGGAGGTGTCCTTTATTCTCTCTATGCTAATACTTTAGTTGACCTCCGAGATAGGGACGACCTCTCTACAAGGGACAAAATCGTTGGCCCCGTAGTGTCCCTTGTTCAGAGGTTCCACTGTATTGCATCATTTCAACCTACCATCCAATGTACACAGTGCAGTAAGTGTTCCACACAATCCCGTCCCGTCACCCTTTCTTCCCACTTGGTTTCCCGAAGAAGAAGAAGAAGAAGACGAATGATCGATTGATTGAGGGGCAGGGGTTATGTTCCCCACAATCTCGGTCCCAACGATTGGATTTCTTCTCTGTACAACTCCAATGATGCCATCAACACTGCCCTTCTGATAGGTCAGCTCAACCATCCATCCATTACTGTGTGGAGGACACCTTAACCCTTAGCAAGCCACGGGCATATACAATATGCCCAGAGCCTCCATAAGTTCATAAGAATTTATATATGGTTATAATACTAGGTGTCAATATGTGTATACATCAATTTCTGCTTATTTAAGGAGATACCCATGGCGTCCAAAGGGTTTTAAAGGGAATGCAATAAGATATGAGTGCTAAATTTAGAAACTGTTACTATAAAAGGAAACTTAATTGAATGGAAGACACCTCACTAATACGGACATTTTCTTCTAACATCAGCTGAGGCAGAACAAACTGTCCATTTATTCATAATGCCCTATGTATGCGGTTCCACTGTATATAGTACTACGTATATATACCTGGGTAGTTCTGCCCCAGCTTCCGCGCCCGTCTCAGTCTCATTCCTGTTCCCGGTCTTGGTCCCATTCCCATCCCGGGGTGTGTGGCTACTGGAATAGACCAGGGGAATGCAAGTGCCTCCGGCCTGGGAGACGAGCAGTTGGCCACACCCACCACTCCTTCCTGGGACCACGCCCACTGACAAAGAGCCAACCTAGACAAGTGGGACAGAAGAAAGTGTCCATTATTATCAGTGATGGGCCCATATTTCAGGGGTTAAAGTAAAAACCCTTCTTAGGGAATGTCCTTAAATGGGAATGTGGCAGTATACATGTAAGGGCTAAAAATATTACAAAAAAACCTAATTGCATTATTGCACTGGGCCTTATTTCTAACTTTCTAACTGTATGTTAGTTATGCACTGCCACATTCCCAAAGAGAGTTGTCCTCATATCAGGGGTATCTTTAGTTAGAGCAAGGTTCCACTACAAAAGGTAATGGACTTACTGTTTAATACGTCCACTATAGAAAGCCTGGTATATACAATACTATAATCCTGACCTGTCCATTTAGAGGCAGTCTCCAGACAAAAATGAGATCTTAAAACCTGTTAGACTTATGGTATAACTATAGAAAGCCTGGTACTATAATCCTGACCTGTCCATTTAGAGGGAGTCTCCAGACAAAAATGAGATCTTAAAACCTTGTATAATTATAGAAAGCCTGGGACAATACTATAATCCTGACCTGTCCATTTAGAGGCAGTCTCCAGACAAAAATAAACCTGTTAGACTTATGGTATAACTATAGAAAGCCTGGGACGATACTATATATAATCCTGACCTGTCCATTTAGAGGCAGTCTCTCGGTGAGGGCCACAAGAGAATGGGTATCCGAATCCCAACGATAGGCACCAACTGCTCTGTCAGTGTGGCCAACAAACACATCAACTGCTCCTCCTGGGTCTGTTGGGATGTGTACGCACAGACGACAAGCTTAGGCTAGATTCACAATATGTTGCATTGCCCCGCTTCGGCCTTGCCGCTTTGCCGGGTCACGAGGATAGAATCTATCTTTGCGGCACAACGCGATGCGCATGGCGCGACGTGGCAATGCTTATTGTGTGAACTCAGCCTTGGGGATTATTTGCCTCCTTCCAAGGAGGTATATAAAAGAGATTAGGAACAGCAAAAATATTGTTTCGGTTTTTTAGGGTTTTGTTTTAATGCCTCATTGACTTCATGGCTTGAATCCTACTATGAGAATACAAGTTGGACCTGATTGAAAGTGAAACATGAAAATCTCAAATGTATGGGCATAATGCAGGACAACCTGTGTCATCCCTATATACCAAGTATATACTTAGTGATAAGCTAAGGAACAAGAGACAAGATTTGATTGTTTAATTAAACCACCAATGCAGTCGACAAGTAGTGTCTTGACATTGAGGGAGAGATACTGGCTGTGGATCGGTCTGATTCCGGTTCCAGTCTTGGACCCTTCCTCCGAAGAACCTTTCCCGCTCTAGACACACAGAGAGAGAAACAGTTTGTCACAGGAAATAAGACTAACACAGCATTTTTCTATTGGTTGAGTTATGAGGTGATTCAACATAATTGTGAGTTTGTGTAGGTGATCTATATTTTACACAGCACGATTGTTAAAGACAGTTGTATGTAGGTTTTGAATCCTTTTAGAAGCCCCCCTGCCACATTTCCTTTAAGAAGAGAATATCATGTATATACATTTGTTTGATTTTGATGGAAGTCGAAGATATGACAGAGTCCTTCTGTTGTGGAGACAATCACCAAATTCTGCGATATCAGAGCTGTGTAAAAATGAGTCCCATTTGCATGCTCAGTGAAGATACTTACCTTCTTCTTGTTCAAGATATCCCCAACTGCAACGCTGGTTATCTGGCACCATGACAAAGAGAGAGCATAAATAATTTTGTTATTTCCTAGTATCCCTCCTATTCTTTCAGGATTTAGCAACACTGTTATCAAAGAAAGAGCATAAATGATTTTGCTACTTCACAGCGTCCCTCCTATTCTTTCAGGAAACATTACTAATCTTTATCAAACAGGCAAGTATTCTTAAAGGACACGTGTGCATTACACGAGTAAAGAAATGGAAATGAAAACTGTACCGGTCATTATGGAGTATATACAAACGAAAACAAAACAGAAGTGTATATTAAACGTAAATTTAAAATTCTTCGGATTTAAAAAGTGTGGAATATAGGGACGGTATAAAAAGCAAGGAGACAAGACAGTGCATGTGATTAGCTATCATCATACCATTCCAAGGTCCGAACACTTTCTCCATGGTTTTGTGTTCTTGATTTCCTTGAAAATGGCTAAGACACCGTCTACGCTCCCTACCACCAGCTCGTTCAGCTATGGAACAATTACAGTTGTCTCCATTTGTATTATGTAAATCAATCACAATAATTATGATAGCTACCAAATTACCATCACTGACAGTTGTTACACACACAAGGAAAAAAATAGCTATTTATCAGCTGTGAATAAGGGATAGATATTATAGGTCGCAGAAAAGAAAATTTTGGGAACCCCGAAAACTCTAGGCCAGCTCCGTATACGTACTCCGTCTCCGTCCACGTCTCCCAGGCAGAGGCCGTGGGAGGAATGGTTGCCTGCGAACTCGAACTCCAGACGATCCACGAAAGACACCGAGCGCATCATCCCTCTAGCTAGCTAGCTAGCTAGGCCCTCATTCCGTCACTGTGCGCATGCGCAAACTACCCCCTAAACCGCGCCCACGTACCTTACAGCTTACGCGCACGCGCTTATGCCAACCAAGCCCACAACTTAGGATTCTAGAATGTTGGACCATGTGTGCTCCAAGAGTCTCCTTGGTCACATAATTTTCAAATTGCTGTGTCCACTGCTTTTGGCACTGTGCCACTGAGGCAGCTCAGCTGGCTGGGCTGAATCACTCATACAGAGTAAGGCAGAGCACTCTGTGTTCTAGGCAGCTCAGCTGGCTGGGCTGAATCCCTCATACAGAGCAAGGCAGAGCACTCTGTGTTCTAGAGAGGGCTCTACCAACTGAGCTACTGAGGCAGCTCAGCTGGCTGGGCTGAATCACTCATACAGAGCAAGGCAGAGCACTCTGTGTTCTAGAGAGGGCTCTACCAGCTGAGCTACTGAGGCAGTTCAGCTGGCGGGGCTGAACACTCATACAGAGCAAGGCAGAGCACTCTGTGTTCTAGAGAGGGCTCTACCAGCTGAGCTACTGAGGCAGCTCAGCTGGCTGGGCTGAATCACTCATACAGAGCAAGGCAGAGCACTCTGTGTTTTATCAGCTACTGACGCAGCACATTCAACTAAGGTTTGGTTTTTTCAAGAATAGTCTCTCTTGGGTCATGTATCAAGCTTTACAAAACAACCATACACTCATCAATAATAATAACGGGAGAGTCATTATTACACAGGGGCCTAGCGACAGAGTCTGATGGTCAGTCCTGCGAGCGGTTCAAACTCTTTGCTATCGACAAGACTAAACTCTCGGACAAAGTAGTAAAAGTGTTTGTAGCAGGCGTTTACGTGTGCCTCTGCACCGATCCTTGTCAAGTTGTCAAAGTGATGAATGTACACATGAACGAAAACTCGGTACAGTCGGGTAAGGATCTTCTTGCACGTGGGGACGAAATTCTTGGGAAACGGCGTACCCACTTGAGCGGGGAACAGTTCTACGTTGGCTATCTGTTTCTCCGTCCACGTCATGAGGTTGCGAACGTAAGTGGGCGCCGAGACGGCTTGCGGCTTTTTCTGCACTTCGTCGGCCCAGTAGTACTCGAATTTTGGACCTCCCGACATCAGTGGACAGCTCTCCTCCGTGCAGAAATCTTGCACCGTGCCGTATATTACGTTGACTCGATTGAAAAAGTCGACTACGTGCACCGCTATCCAATCGTTGAACTCTTCTTCTTCAGGGAGGGAGACGGCTTGTTTCAGATCGAGACCAGCGTTAAGCGTGGCTTTGGCCTTCTTGTGCAGGTCGTACTTCAGCGTCCCCTTCTCCCACTTTTTCTTAGGTCGGAACGTTCTCTGTTTTGAGAATACCCCAGCCATCGTCCGCCCGTTCCGTTCTTTCACACCTTCGATCCCCTAGCGCTGCCCGGATATACAAACGATGACCTTTGAACTCTACTCCCCATCCCGCCCCTTTAATGAAAGGTGAACCAATCATATTTCAAGTAGTTTGCGCGTGATGAGCACGTGGGAATTAAAAGCGCATGCGCGTAAATTACATCGCGCGTGCGCTCATACGTGAGTGCGTGTACGTGACGTGAGTGAGTGAGTGAGTAGCTCACAGAACGCTGTCTCAATAGGCTACTTCGTCCACCTGTGTCAACTGCCGAAATGACGCAGTATCTCCCTCCCAACCTGTTGGCGCTATTCGCGCCGCGCGAACCGCTGCCTCACCTGAAGCAGCTGGACGCCTTGCCGTGGGAGAAGAAGCCGTGGCCGTACTGTGGAGTCAGTCAATACCTTAGTCTCTTCGAGGTGAGTGGGAGCGGAAATATGTATTCTGTACTTTCTTTAGCTAAAAGCGAGAGAATGGCCCGGTGTGCTCTTGTTGGAGTATATCACGCCTAGATATGTAGTGGGCATTAATTAAAATAACCTTGCCGTCTGTTTATCCAGGACCCCAATGAGACGCCGCCCGCGACGAGAGGCGAGACAAAAGAAGAGAGAGTTGCTCGAAAGGTGGACAATGTTGCATACATCATTGTGTCGTGTTGTTGAGCCCTGCCATGCCATTCTTCTCCTCTTTCTGCTGTGTACAGTACTTTCAAACTTGCCGGTTACATGCTTGCTCCATCTGTATGTATCAGAGCTACTACATGCACATTCCTTGAGGAAGTGTGATCCTGTGTGTCTTGTGTTGTTTGCTTTGCCTTTGCCTTGCGACTTCAGCATTGACATTCAGAAGTACATACAAAGGCACAAAGTATGAAGCTTTATAGCTGCCCACTCCTATTAGCTGAACAGGTTGTTGATTTTGTGTTAAATGAGAAAGTGTTATAGCTCTTTTAACTTAACCTAATATGCTAAGGTGTGATACAATCCCAAGTGTTGTTGGTTGTAGACCTTTTAATATAGTAGGAAAATTTCTGTGAAGTCTTGAACTAATTTTGATCTACGCACAGATGCATGAGAGGGAGGAAAGACACAAGTCTACATGTGAGTCCAAGATTAGCAACTGTAAGTCCTTCGTTGTTTTGTTGTGTGCCTTTTATTATCTCTCTTCCCTCTCCTTCCCTTTCTCTTCTTTTCCTCTCTCCCTCCCTCTCTTCTCCCTCTCTCCTTCCTTTCTCCCTCTCTCCTCCCTCTCTCCCTCTGTCCTCTCTGTCTCTCTCTCTTATTCCTCTCTCCCTCTCTCCTCCCTCTCTCCCCCTCCCTCCCTCTCTCCCTCTCTCCCCTCTATCTGTGTTAAGGGGACCCTAACTCAGATGAAAATGCAGAAGGAGATCCTTTCAAAACCCTCTTCATAGGACGGGTTGTAAGTTGTCTGTCTCGTGTCATGTTTTATACACAGCAGTTCAGTTGTAGAGCCCTTGCCTAGACTACAGACTGACGTGGGTTTGAATCCCACATGTATATCAATGCAAAGACCTTTTCCTTCCACACACACACACACACACACACACACACACACACCACACTCACACACCACACACACATACACAGAACTACGATACGTCGGAATCGAAACTGCGACGAGAGTTTGAACAATATGGTCCTATCAAAAAGGTAAATTTAAAAAAAATTTTCCAAGTTCAAGTCATGCAATGTGTAGTGTTCGGCAGTATAATATAGGGCTATATGTGAAATATAATTATTATCGTGCAAATGAATTCTTCCACTGGGCCCCCGGTTGTTTAGTTCTATCTTTAGAGTAACATTTCTAAATTTAGCCCTTATGTACTGACACACACTCATTCTAAACGAACCTTTGATCTTTCATACTAAGTGGTTGTAATTACAGGGGGTTCCTATAGTAGAAACAAAGTATTAGGCTATATTATGGCTGGTTTCCGGTAAAAAGTCATGTGCTGTGCACTTATTATAGCAAAAATTGGCTAATTCTTGCGACTTTTGTAGCCAAATGTTCAAAAGTGCAGACATTGGCTATTTTGGCTGACAGTATATATGTGAATCCCCTGAGTAACATTATCGATTATTTCTTATCTCCCTCAGATCAATCTGGTTATGAACCCGTCGACAGACAAGCCTTGCGGCTACGCATTCATTATCTACGAAAAGGAACGTGACATGCACGGTAAAAAAAACAAAAAAACATTCAATATTTTTAACGTAGTGCTGCAGCTCTATATACATATATATAATATAGCAGAAAACCTTTGAGGAATAGAACTTTTCAGTTTTGCAGAGAGAGAAAAACCTTTGCAAGCTTTGCTTCAAATGTGTGCAAATACAATACATGCCTGATGCATTTGCTAAAATTTACTTACAATGCTAATGCATTTACATGCGTTGCTAAAATTTACTTAAAATGCTAATGCATTTACATGCGTTGCTAAAATTTACTTAAATGGTTTGAACGGTTTTGTTCCTTATCGACTTTCCAGCTATAATTATATGTATGTGTGCTACGTTTTAGCTACAGTTGAGAATGTATGGCTACGATGTGTAATACATGTGACTGTATTTATATTGTACCTCCTACTCAGCCTATGCCTGAGGGGTGTACACGTGTGTAAAAGGCACGACATCATTGGAGGCATGGCCCCATTCCATGCCCAGGTAGTGGTTGGATTCCATACCAGGTAGTGGGTTGCGGCGCCGTTCCATTCCAGGTAGTTTTGGTGTGAGGAATTAAACACGCCGTGCACAAGAGGCGCGAACACTGTGCGTTAAAGAGCAGTAGCATATTGATTCACAATATGTAGCAAATGAATGATGCAAGAATTGATGTGTGTTGAACATACTTGCGTGCTAAAGCATAGTGCAGTGCAGTTATGTAGTAATAATAATACTCACGGTGGCTGGCATAGCACTAGGGCCGTAGACCACGCACCCAGAGCAATGGGCGGAACCGTTAACAAACGAACATACACCATATGAACATGAGGTGTCTGTCTCACCTCCCAGACACCTCGACTCACCCCTTCCACCAGCATACACAACGCGAAATTTACACTACAGTACATATGACCGAAAAAGCACAAACTGCATACAAAGCAATCATGCATAAAGAACACTTTTATAAGTGAACATAAAAGCTTTACAGTTTTGAGTGTCTATGTATTGCGCGATATTAT